TCTTGTAAAGAACGAAAGGTCGGTGACCTAAAGACGCTTTCTCAAGCGCAAAGCTACGGCGGCCCCGCTGCATGTTCTTTACCTCAAGCAAATACCAACATGCATATACGCATCATCACGTATGCTACTGGTCGGCTTAAAGCGGCTGAGATGAGCATTCAGGTTCATGACAAGAAGTTACTTACTATAAGGTACAGTCTGTCAGCTTCAGGGTTCACCGGCTTGTCTCTCGTCCGTGTTCTATCTGAACACAGTATGCGTCGTTATCACATCGAACGCCGAATGATTATCTTTTTTTTACCTAGAATAGCTTAAAGGTATAGTATGAGCCAGTGCAGCACAAATGGTAGCGAGTGCTCTTTTGCGCCATCCTCACTGTTGGCAATGACGTCGCTCATCCAATTGCAAACATGTACAACGTACGAGTAAGATGCAACATTTGATGTATTGTCAAAAGCTCTGAAAAAGGAGTCTTTAAACTTAGATGCAGGCGACTAGCTGTACGCTTATATTGCTAGCCATTATTACAAGGCTTGCTGTCTTAAGCACGTACCAGTAAGCCGCACACCGAGAAGTTTACATAATGATAATGATCTCGAAGAAATTATACTGGATGGTGTGCTGCATATTCTTCTTCAAGGCCAACACGGAAGAGATTAGACGTGCAACCATAAAAGACGTTATGCATATTTTTTGTAAGTGTTTTTGTGTGCGTGCGTCTAAGGCTAACCCATCGCAGTATACGTTAGCTATCTTGTATAGTGGACTTTGTCTATTTGCTTGACATTTGGTCGAGCATGTCTATCCGCAAACATATTACTATATTTGGCTTTCGTGTTCGAGAATGCCCACAGAGAGCTCGCATTAAGCAGCCACGGAGCCAGAGCGACGTGCTCTCACGCAGTCGAATCAACGAGAAAATAACAGAAGAACACGTTTCCCCATGCTTTACACCATTTCTATGTATTATTTGGCACGTGTTCTCTTGACAGCTTCACGAAAAAGCTATCGTCATGGTAAAGGATAACCAATTGAATTTAATTAGACTACGCTTCGCAGCAAAATCGAGAAGCTTATCTTATAAGAGATCAGGCATCACGCGCTGAGTGCACGACGCTACGGATTAAAGTCAGAATATGCAAAGGCAGAATATAGATTTCAGAGTGGGACACATGCACATGAAAGTGGGCGACAAGGCCTCAGAACGTTGTCAATCGACCCTCTTATGCAGTGTCTACAGCTTTTGAAGCTATTGCGCTCTTGCTACATCAAACCCTTTGCGTTCGTAGTCAGAAAGGAATTAAGTTACACTCTCAAGTTCTAAAAGGTGACGCAAATACATCATGTGCTTTACGCGAGCCTCCAGAGTCTGCTATGACCCGCTTTAACAATTCATTTGTTACGAAGCGTTCTGTTTAAGCTAATATTGTCTAACAGTATCTTGTTGCTGAGCTACATTCTGCTCAAGGACAACAATACAGGTTTGGATCACTTGGGTTGCCGCGATCCAAATGATCCGACTGTACAGCTTCTCCAGCCTGTCTGAAGACGACATTTGTCTGTATCGATCCGAGCTAAAAATTTCTAAGAGATACAGCGTACCTCCGCAGCCGAGAAAGCCCACGAGAGTCATCCACATGAATCTGTTCCTCACCAGCTATGCATGATTTGTTGATATTGCCCAATATAAATCAGTATATCCAGATACCCTTTCGTGAAGAGTTTTGCGGCCTAAGAATTTCACATTCGCGAAAATCCTGGTACTGCTGATGCTTACATACAAACACGCCCTGAATAAACTTCTACAGTGTGAGAGGCAGAGCCGTAAAGGAATACGAGCTTCTCACTTTCGGGTAGAGCCCAGGATTGTTTCAGCTTCAAGCTTGGTCTGTAAATGAACCATAACTAGGAGCTTGCGTTTGTCAACGCGGGCTGGTGATGAGGACGAGTCGCCTTGACGTCGACGTCACGCATTAAAATTGTGAAAGGTCATTCATTGAGCAGCTTTATAATCTGACATATGTTCCACTCAAATAAATTCTGAAATACCTAAATGGGTTAACGGCAAGTCTACTTCACCTAATGTATTATTCTGCGCTATCGCCAAAGCATAGTACCCACAGCATAGCCCTCGTGAACAGTGCCGATTCTTTGACTGCAGCTGTAAGCGGTACAACGGTGGAGTGGTGAGCTGCAAGGTCGGGTATTCAATGCATCTAAGGGTTTACACACATAGTGTTCCAAGCTGTGCTGAGACACGGCGGGTAGTTGCCACCGTAAAAATCAATTTGCACGGCATAATTTTCTGTAAAGCGACTTTACTGAAAATGGCTTCGATTCTTGCCTTGTAGACAAGCAAAATTCACTCGCAGATTCCGTTTTTACATTGAAACACGCTGCGATTCTTTCCCTCGTGAGCGAGCAAGCACGGCTTCTGATTCTGATTTATTTAAACTCAATCTTGGATTCCGCTGCTTGTTTATAGCACTCTCCGCTCAAGGAAACAGGAACAGTGTGCGCAATTTCTTCAGCGTTGGAGAGTTGCGTGAAGCATGCCTTATCATCTGAGAAATACTTGTTTGCGGGATACGCTTGGCCGTGTAGCCTTCACTGACGGCGCAGGTGTTGTGTCCAGACTGGAAAGTCACTGTGACTTTCATCACGTGACATCGCATCGCCTTCCTCACTAGATATTTTTTACGATGTCGGGCGCCAAGCTACGACGTCTTGGTAGATTGTCAAGCCATATCCGTATCAAAAAACTACAGGAAGATGAATTTTGGCACATTTAGTGGTCACAATAGCGTATGCAACGGGATAAAACTAGAAAAGAGAGGCAGTGGGCGTCGATAAAAGAATTCTTTTGCGAGTATAACAGCCTAGTGAGATGCACATTATAGGGTCTGATTGTTTATACAATATAGGACGAGACCACAACAATTTTTCTTTGCACACGATGCTTTTACTTTCATTCTAGCTAGACTCAATGTCAAATATCTAAATTTGCGCAATCAAGCACTAGAGTCTTGTAAAATTATACATTTGTTGTCCTAGTGACGGCCTGGAGAATATCATCTGAGCGACTGTTAGTGCGACGCTATGGATCAAAGCTTCCTATATACAAGGTATGGAGCAATCAATTACATTCTATTTTGATTGAAGAAGTCCACGTGAACAATTGCACGGAGGATGAGTTCAAAGGCTGTCGCGAGGGCGAGAAGTCACGATCAGTTGAAGGACAGTATACACACAACAAAATCGGGAACGTATTCTTTTTCCCCAACATGAGATTCCCGTTAGAATCATAATCCAACCTTGTTGTTAGTTATGTCGCAAGGTTACCAACGAAGAAATTCCAGTATATACTCAAGCATCAGCATTACTCGCTTTGATTCTCGTTTCAGTACATTGTATAAGGTTTATAAAGAATGACAAAAGTCTTGTCGATGAAGTCGTGAATGTAAACGACTGTTGAAAGGGATGTTCCCAAAATGAGAAGCCGTAGTGACCTAGCAAAATCGGACTCAGCAATTTTGTAATTTTCAGATGCTAAACAGCTATTTCAATCTTCTCCCTATGATGCATTTTGAGGGCTTGAACATCTTCAAGGACCAAGCTCACCCTCGCGTGTACTGCACACCGTTTTTGATCAATAGAGAGAGCAGTCACACTTTTTACTGTGGGGCTGACGATGATGCTGGTGTCATTTCGAATGAACAGGACCCTGTTTAAAGCGCTTACACAGTTTATCGACAATTACAAAAATTAAAAAGATCCTCGATAAGGTCGATAACAGCAAGAGTACGTCGTGATTATGTGACATGAGACACAAGTTATGAACAAGCAGAGGTATAGATAAAAATATCGATCAATGCTTGAATTTGCAACGTCCAAAGGCGGCATTAGCAACGAGGTGGCCATTTGCCCTCGCCTTTAATTCTCGCTGAGAACAATCACGCCACAATTATGAGTCTGCTCATACAGCAACCGGTCAAACCTCGAGTTTGAGGCTAGGATCGCCCCAGTCTCTAGCAAGAAGCGCGTTCTATCGCACGACAGTGTCGCTTACCCAAGAGAACGTTGACAAAGAGTATCACAAATTATCACATTCATAGCCTCTAGGGCAATCGTTATAAAATAGGACAGCAATCTTTCAGGAGTTCCTAGGAGGGAGCCACTCCATTTTGCCAGGAACTGAACATCAATCTGGTAGTACACCGATCCATGTTTCAACTTTATGGGAGTTGACAATACTTAAGTCATCGAGCAGCTTCGGTGGAAGATGGCTCTCGAGCTTTTTTTTCTAAGAAGGTATGTATACTATACTGTCTTTTAACTCCATGACTCATACATACTAAAAGTAGTGCCTTGGTGGAGTCCTGTGGTTAAACTGCACGATGAAGTACATCAATCTAGTACTACGTACGATATCAGAGTTATGGAACTCCAACATAAAGAGGCTCAACAGACAAATGTTTAGCTAAACTCACATAATGCACTGAGAGAGGATTTACTATGATCAGTACTTAGAATGTTCGGCAGTTGTTTCGTCTGGTTAATCTTGCCATAGATCAATCCGAACATAATTGGGTACTTGTATTCAGAGGACACATCCTATAGACGACCGTTGTGCATATCCTCAGCGCGTTTAATAACGCGGACTACAATAATGGGTGAAGTGAGAGCCATTGTCGTTGAAGCGGCCGAGTTGTCATTTGACGAGAGCGATTACGGGATTCTTTGAAGCCTGACCCGGCACCTTCGCTTCGATAATGAGACATACAGCAAAGCTGATCAATATTGATAAGGTATTCCCTGTGACTGACAATTCTAAAACTTTCCTCCTGGGAATTCACGACGACGACTAGCTTCGTACCAATAAGCTAGACCTGACCTCACGTACTGACCGTTGGCGGCGATGTCGAAGTGTATCGCAATTAATTTGCACACTAAGTAGCAAACTATTTTGCCAATGTCAAGCAGCGAGAAGTATTATTGTTAAAAATGTCAGGACAGGCTACCAAAGCATTTCCAGCTTGAATATTGATGAATTGAAGTGCTCATACCGTACAATACGCACTACACAGATTTGTTGTGAAAAATGGAAAAGCCGTTCAAAAGCTACGAAGTTCTTTTACGCCGTCGACAACTTTTGCGATCCATAGGAATCGCTCTGATGATGTCCTAAAACGTAGTGACGTTCTCAGAAGCAGCGTTGCTGCTCATTGATGCTGCGATAGACGCAAACAGACCATGTGCACAAATGACAAATTTATGTCACTTCGATCTTTGATTGTCGGTCATCCAAAAAGATGCAAGTGGGCTTGCACAGTAGCCCGTATGTAATACTTTGTGTGTGTCAGCCCATCTACACTTCCTAATTTAATTCGTTACCGTTTACATTCGTAACTAAAAATCAATTTTGTGCACATAGACAACGGTAGTATTATTTTGACTCAATGAGTTCGTGTATAGAACACGCCAATATTATGGCTCGTACGCTCCACCCAGAAGCGAGACGGAGAGATTTAAAATATAGCAGACCTTTTTGTTTTGCTACTCATAATTTAAAGGTCAAAAGTAAACAAGTACTCTACAACTACATAGCGATAATTGAACAGTATGTACTGACTGCTCACATTTTCCAAAATGATCTTCGTTACTAATCCCATTAGTATCAATTATCAAAACCGCAATTACTTCAAAGTGCGATGTGAATTCGGTACAATTGCACAAAATTCTATATTGCGCAGATAAGCAAAAGTATATGGTGAACATACACGATAGTACATATTTACTCTATGATATAGACGCCTGAGACGACGAGTCTTAAGTAGGTGTGTAATGTAGTGTATGTGATTGTTGTACTTCTGTGAACTTGATGAATACATCAAAATGGAAGGGTTAATTGATGGGAGACTTTGCAAAGTACAAGCACGACGGGAACGTCGAAATGGACGCTAACCGCATCAAATTCGTGCTGTCAACAGTTTTACTAATCTCCACGAGCTTGCGAATAGAGGTGTCTGCCGAGTCTCAAACCTGAAACTATATCGAGCCTCACTGCCAAGCAAAAAGCGCGTTGGGCTTGGTGACCCTGAGTATTTCCTGGTTGGCAACGGTGCCAGGACAACTTTGCCAGCGCAGGACTTCAAACTCCCATGACTTTGTCGAATGAGGGAATCCTTTGCATTTTACCATATACCGCTTTTAACCAGGCAAATCTAACCATCTGTTCCTTATGGAGGTGATACACCCTTTACTCATCCAATAGTACTGGCAAACGACGACCCTCTCGCGGCTGGCGCTTTGGCTTCTCCGGGTTATGGCTGAATTCGACTCTGTGAGAGTCTTGATGTGCGGTCAATGTTGATTTGAGCAACGTATCAGATGCGCGCTTTGCGTTACACCATTGGATAGAGTGACTTGAGGCAACCCAGGCAGGTTGTAGCTGTAAAGTTTCCTTAGAACAGAACGGTGATGAGCCGCATAAAATTGTTCAGATGCTGCTTTCTTTTTACCAGATCGTTTTACTACCGAGTGGCTCGTAAAGCGGGACAGCGCCATGGCCTCCACAAGCCCACAGAGATTGCACGATATGCTTGGGTACTCCTCAAGGTATTGATGGTATAGCTCAATTTCTATTTGGCTACGATCGAAGATGGTCCGATGTAGCGAAGTCAAAACTGAGTCTTCTAGTCTGCATAGAGATACTGCACGTTAAGGTACCTTAACTGCATCCAATGAATCTTCTGTTTCACCACATATACATGCGTGCCTTGCCTGCCTGACATCGTCGTGATTTTTCTAGATATGCTGGCTCTCAGCCATAGCGTCGCGAACCCGGCACATGATAGTCAATCTCATTGAGATGAAATATTTGGTTTTACTACAAAGTGTATTTGGGCTGATATTACCAATTTGAGATGAATCCACGGCTATCCCTGCCATAGATACTCGGTAGGGGCAGCACGAGTTGAATCCACGGCTCCCCTCGCCATGGAACGGGCCTCTTCGAAGTGGTGTAAAAATACACGAGGAATGAGTAAATCGTACATATAAAATGGATTAAGTCTGTAAAGGTGGTATACGTTTATGTTTACTAACTTAATGAGTGAGGTAATCTGACTGGCTTTCCGCGCAAATGCTTTCAAGGTGCGCTAAGTACATAAACAAAGTTCATCAAATTTCTGCTGAGGCGCGGGTCTCGATCCGACACAGTAGCCACTTTGGCGACAACGTTTGTCGAGGAGCAGCCTGGTTATATTTTCACCGGTGGCAATGACAAGAGAAACCATCTTGCCTGTACAGTTCATATTGACCGCAATGCTGGTGTTACCAGACGAGCGTTACGAAAAAATTTGAGCAGATTTCATATCAAAGTGTTTCAACATTCTGCTGGGACCGGCAGACAGGCCAAAAGAGCCGATGCCTGTGATGGGGGACACGATTTACCCGTGCATGCATGCGTTATCTCTGTCTTTACATGCTTTTCATCAGTAAAAGGATTCACAGAGCCATTTGTATTTTTTCTTTCCATGTAGCCACCCGAAGGGTATCATGTGCTTCGTACGGTGTCCCGCTTTGATACTCACCATGGGATACCACCATACCTGAGGGATCAAATGAACCAATGCTTTGAAACAGAAAATGTATATATTCTGAGGCGCCCGCGGTACATATTGCCTCCTCATTGTATAGCGACACCATATTGACATGCATCAGATTATAGTCCGAATGACGCAAAAGAGCACCGCCGCATCATCAGGCCGGCTCGATTTACTCGTTAACTCGAAGGGTTACTCGACAAAACAGAATGACTACTCCATTATCACTCTGCCATTATCTACAGGAGATGTGCTGACGATGTCACTGTGCGCAACGCTGAATGGTCTGTATTGATCAAAAACGGATCCATGCTAAGAGGGAGCACTCTGAAGTTGACGAACATAATGTATTACAGTTAGCTTCCTGTCACGAATAGGGAGATTTGACTTAACAGCCTGAAGCTGGCAAAATTCAAACGTGATTAAGCTTTCATACCCATTGGCATCTATTTCGAGAAAAGTGCAGCGTATTGCAAAGGCTTAAGCGTCATAAAGAACATTGAATGGCTGGTCTGGATATAAAGTAGCCATAATAGGGGCGTTCATGAGGCTTACTTACATAGCTTTAAAAGACCATGTCGCCCCGAATATAAATTTTCGCATGTCACAATAGCGACATCGTTAGTTGATACGGCGCCACGCATACCGTATTGATGAAACTTAACATATGGTGTGCTGCTGGAAAGGTTAAGGAAAAAAGAGCAAAAACCCAAATGTTGCTTTATCGAAGCGCGCGATTACATAGCTGCATCGCTATGCATTATCCCAAAGCTAGCTGTATCACAACACTGATTCAATCAAAAATCGGGGTGTATTGACGCCTTCTGTTGGGAGCATCAAGCACATAATACTGTACGAGACACATGATACCTCTCTATGTCGCCACCTTAGATAGAATGGACATACTGCTCGGATCGCGCTGTGGATTGATGACTCACATGTATAAGTGGGGAAGCACGTACGTGACCAAGCATCATGTGCACCACTAGTGAAACGAACCAACATGAGCTGAGAATTTTCCATCGCAAGGCAGATGATCGCCATTGCCTTGCGAGACTTGCGCTTGTCCGTGTGTTGGGTTAACGACGTAACGCACTGCTCCAGCTTGATCTCTCCGCTATGAGCGCGCATACGACGTGTCAACGAGCTAAAGATCACAGCAGGTCGCGGCGCCTTTGGCCAGCCTGTAGGTTTCAGAAGTGTTCTGGTAGTCCATTAGCCTGATCTCCATTGTTGGGCTTCCAGAATACGCCTCTGGGAATTCAAGCGTCGGAGTGTTTATGAACTGTCTGAGCAAATTGGCTCATCTCGATGTGACTGGTGAGAATACAACAAAAATTTCTTCGCGAAAATGTTTTCGTCTACATGGCTTATCGACAGCCAATAAAGTGGGTAGATATCTGCGTTTTGCAACAATATTTCAGTGAACACTGTTCAGAGTACTCGACACCCGATTGCATATGCCGGCCACTGACCATCCGCAAACAGCTGGGCAGGCAGAATGCGTGAATCGTGCAGGAAGCAAAGTTCTCCAGAACACTTGCACAGGGGACTTCAAAAAAGCAGGCTCCAATTTGTGCAGAGTGGGGCATTGCAGGCGCAGTGGCTGCTCGGGGAGAGGTCGATTTTGCGCTATGTCTTTAAAAGACAAGATAGTTATCTTTGTGGGAGTGAAATGGGGAACTTTGTGTACGTAATCCAGTAGACGTTTCTACCACAACGTTCTGTATCAAACCAGTTATCCTCCTTTACAGCTAATGTTTACAGATGACAACGCTGTTGCAGGTACTGACTTGATCATCAAAGCAATTGGTGGGCAGCCCTAATCATGTGTACTTCCAGCCATCGACAATATGAGGTCGTCCATTATGCCATTTTCAGGACTGAACAATCCCTCACACAAGTGGTATAGTCTGATTAATTATATGTTACAACTTTACATGTTTACAATCAGCATGGGTAAAATTGTGAGTGCTCTTAAGATCCGGAGTATCAAATTCGTTAGGAAAGGTCGTCTGCCGCTAGCCACACGTTATGCGATAAAAAGAATTTATTATGAGAGATAGTAAGACGTATATATTCTGTAGTAGTCTAAAAAATAATCCTGAGTATATGTATTATAGAATAGCATGCAATCCAAGTGTCGAGCACACGAACCTGCAAAGTGCACAGCAACTCCGTTGCGTTGATGATAATCCCGTGGTTTGTAAGCCAGGCATAATTTTTTATAGATTATAAGTTTTAAGTTGGCCTTGTACTTGTTAATCATTTTTTCCTATAGAGACCTGATAGGGATTGAGACGATTAATCAATGTGATTCTCATTCTGATTCCTATTTGTATGGTAACACGCTTTCGTACTGTAACCGGTCCCAAGAATTCTGGTCATTGCTCCCAGTTGTTATCATCGGATCTGTTGTACCTTTTGGTTTCTTGTCTCTGAAGCTAGGAATCTCACTAATTTGAACCGTTTTTTAACCATTGTACTGCAAAAAAGCTCTTTTGCGGCTCAACTGGAGATCAATTTCATGTTCTTGATGATTTTTCTATCTGTCTGCATTATCTTTTTGTTATAATCTGCAGGTGAAATTTGTACTGGGAAGGCCACTCTGCCTGCTGCCTGCAATGTACATTCTTGTTCATTTTCCAGTTTATACAGCAGCCGTCTGCTGGTTGCTTTGGTTTCCATAACGTCTTACTGTAATAGCCATTCTGCGATGCCTGTCTAGTTGTCTGCTACCCATTGCTGGTTCATCGTCGCTTCACATATTTCCAGACAGTATCCTGCCACTCGTGTTTACTCCTGCAATTTCCATGCACTCGCTACCGCTTTAACTTGGAATACTCCCGCCGCTCAAACTATCTGTGCTGTTTCTTTGGACTTGGTATGTAAATTTTCGATTATGTACTTATTTCGAAGATGCTTCAATCGCCAGTCGATATATGGGCTAGTTTTGATAATCCATGAAGATTCATTTTTTTTGTTCCTCATCTGCGCTGTTGTTTGGGCTAGCGATTTTTTTTCACATTGATTTCTCTTTGCGGCTTCGGAGTATTTTCAGCGTTGCTGCTAAGTTGTGCTTGAAGTCGCTCCTCATGGTCTTTGCTCTCTGGTTTCGAGCTGATTCCTTACGGTGTTTTGATTTCGTCGATACAAGTGCTTTCCACAATAATTATGCTGTTCTTGGACTGGCCTTGAACGCAATATACCCTCTAGAGCTGCTCACGTTGATGCATCTGCCGTTTTTTCACTGTCGCTGATTATCGACATTATTTTCCATGCTCATCCGTTGAAGCTGTGATGAATTGTAACGGAAATTGCCCGTCCGTGTACACAGAAGTACTGAGGAAGGCTTGGTCAACTGACACGCCTGACTGCGTGTTGCTCACCTCCAGCGAGCCGCTGGCTTACGTTAAAGAAGAGGAAAGGTGAAGTGACATTTATTATTATAGCCAATAGACTTTTAAACCTTTCCAACTTGATAAGTACCTCCAGTTCTGATACAACAGATTTGAAGGTAGCATACAAGTATACAGAATGTACACTTAATGTGAGACACACCAATTATATGATCTACACAATACGTGTAATGGAACCTGGTCCATTACATATATGTCATATCTGCGTTTCTCTCTGGATCTCTTTTTGTCCTTGCAACTGCTTTGACTACTCTATCTACTGCCCATATCACCTCTCTTTCGAGCATAGGTTCCATGGATGGTTCTATCTCATTTTCTGTTGGCTCACAGCTTCTTTGGGCAAACTTTGTAATATACGTTTGCTCTAGGATACTTGCGTTGACGTGTCCGGTTCCGTTCAGCAGGAATTCCTTCAGACAGGCTAGAGCTTTCTTTTTGTTTACTTATGTGGACGTGAATCTCATTTGCTGCCCGTCAATCCAATAGCCTGAGCTAATTACCGGTCCTTGTTGTTGATACTGCTTTGTTACTTCCTTCTGTTCTTCGTTCATAACTTTTTTTTCAGAATGTGTCCGCCACAATTTTGCTCTACCTAACGCTTGAGATGTAATTTTGAGGTAGTTTCTTCCTCTCTCACTCAAGCTTTTGGCAATCATTTCTAAGCTGGTTGGTGATACAAACAATCGTTTGACTTGTTGTTCTATTTAGATGTACCGCGTGATGCCACACTGCTGCGTATGTGTCGCGAGGTGCACTTATCCATCATTCCGCCAGATTTGTTCTAGTCACTCGAATTGCTGTGCGCTTATCCTGCAGTCCCAATCCTCCATATCGTTGTGGTGTGAACAAGAGTGGTGGATTAAATTTATGTCTGCCTTCGCTGCGCTTGCATTTCCACGCCACACAGACTGTTTCAATAAATTCTTCAATTACCGCAGAGTCTGTTTTGGCATCGGTTTCGCAGTATATAGTATTGATGGCAATGCTACAGCGTGGAATAGCATGATGTGTTGCGTTATCGAGTTGCTGAGTGAAGTAGCAACGCGTACAACATTTCCATCCGTATATCCCAGTTCTTCTAGTTGATGTCTAGTTTCCCACCCAGTACCCTAGATGTCGTGTTGTACTGTTTGGATTCAGGACTGGATGCCTGTTCCATTTCGTTGGTGTATGTGCGTATTAAGGCCAATCATGATGCTTTTGTGAGGCTGTCATTCAAGCCCTGAGACTCGTTAAAAGTCGTCCAGTATCTTCTTAATTATGCTTTGCTAATGAACGCTATCCTGTTATCTACGAACGCTGAAAAATGGTAAATTTTTCTAGTACTCTTATTTCTGTCAAATTTAGGCCTCTAAAAATTATTGGTCAAGTGTATTTACAGCTAACATGAAAAATAGTGGTATTAGTGAACATCCTTGCCTAATAACGGAGCGTATGCTCCATTTGGATGAGAGATTACCATTTACGAAGAATTGTGCCGTGGTTCCTTCATAAAGAGTGCGGAACCCTCTCAGGAAGCTATCTAACAATTCATTTGCTGCTAGTACACATTTACGGCCCAGCGTTTCCTACGCCTCAAATCCAAACAAAGTGCTGCAGCTGAATCAGCCCATTCTGTTTCCAGGTCTTCCGTATTCATCACCAGCAAGCCTCGAAGTATCATTACTATTTTGTTAATACTGCGTCCAATTACAATTTCTAGTTGTGACTTGCTGATTAACTTTGGTAGCACTACGTGTACCCGTCCTGCTAATGTACTTTCAAAACTTTTATATGTCGTGGTGAATTAGACAATTGGACGGTAATCCATAGCTTCCGCTGAGTCTCAATTATTTTCGTAACGGAATAACTGTAGCTGCCAAGAACGATTGTGGTACTCCTGCCCCTTGGAGAATGCTGTTGATTGATCTTGTTAGAGACGGTACATCATTTCCACAAAGCCTTGGACAAATTCGTGATTTAGGCCAATCGTTCCTCCTGTTTTGTGTCGTTTGAGGCGTTCGATGGCATGGTTTGTATCTGCTTCAGTGAATGGTTTCATCGTGTCTTCTCCTTCTTTCTGCGGTAATCGTTGTTGTGGCGGTATTTTCATAACTTTCTCCATCATTTTTGGGCTTCCTTTTGTGTTGTCTGCATGAGATTACCCAAATGCATGGCTCCACTCTGGGGTCATCCTTTCTTCGATGGGATAGTCCACTTCGAAGAAGTGGCCAGCGGAAGTTTGAATATCATTGATTGACTGATCTCTTCATCATTCGCTGTTTTGCTTGAAATAGCGTCTCGTTTCGTCACTCTCGTCTCGGTCGCGTTCCAGAAGATCTTGCTGCTGTTTGTCGTGCTGTTGGCTGTGGTCTGCTAATATTTACCCTCTCACTCTTGTTCTGCTTTTGGTAGTAGCAGTGCTTTGTAGTAGTGCCAAGGATGAGATAAACCTTGAATCTGAGACTGAGACTACGCAGCGGTCAACGCTATCAAATTCAAGGAACTTGACACCAAGATCCACAGGGAGCCTCGGCACAGTGACACAAGTCCACGTCGCTTAGCGAACAGTGACGGTGTCACTTAACCGCAGTTACAGCGCCTCAGCATATAGCTGACTTCCTTCGATCGTGGAGCGTCGAGCATAATTGACCGACCTCCCGGAGTCAATAAGGATCTTCCATGGAATTCCAAAGCCCTTCACGGTCGCTTCCACGACCAGCAAGTCTGGCTTACTTACGAGTTTGGTGTAAAAGAGCACGGAGCTCTTCGGGCTGGGCCCTGCTGCCGTCTACCTCTTTGAGGCTCAGCAACACTCAGTTCTTTCCCAGTAGGGACCCGCGCCTACTGGGGTTTCTCGTTAACCTCGACTGGTTAGAAGCGGGACGTCGGTTTGAGGAACCTATACGCGCCTTGCGCAGGGGACAACCATTCCGGAGGCGATGTGTCTCCACAGACAAAACACAGTCGGGTGTTTACACGCTGCTCGACAGCTCGAAGCTCCCCCTCCTCTTTCTCAGCATAACTGAAATCTTTTGGTTTAGGCCCGCTCGACGAGCTGCTAGACTGTATTCCGACCAAGTCGTGCCGACTTAATGTTGAATTCGGCATTCACTGCCACATTCACCGCTTCTTCAAAAGAAGATGATGCGTACGAAAACTTATTTCTGGCCACGCCAGTGCAGTGGATCTCCATAAAGACGGTCACTGTGGCAGCCTCGGGGAGAGAATTGGCTGCTATCCTGGCAATGAGAGTTCGAAATTCTTGGACAAAGTCCACCAATTTCTTCATGCCTTGTCGGAAGGCAAGGAAACGTGATCGCACGTGATATGCCTGGCTAGGCGGCGAGAACTCTCGTAGAAGCTACAGCTTCAACTCCGTCCAGGAGGACATCGCCGCTTTAACCGAAATGTCACGCACAGTGCCCATTTGCGTGCTCGGTATCCTAGCTTGGAGATAGCTAGCACCACGCTCTGCTACTCGTTCTAGAGCGTGGCGGATGTCATAGCCATCTCGGCCTCTATCACCCAGAGCACGAGATTCTCTCCAGCGTTATCTTCGAAGGCCTTAACGCTCACAATGAGTGACCTGGGTTGGGAGGAGTCATCCGTCGTCGACGATGGCGCCATGGACGCAGTCGACGCCGACATCCTTGATTTGAGGTGCTTTATCAGAGCATTTTCATAGAATTCAAACGCCTATAGGCGCGCGCTGTTCGCTTCAGATCCTAGTGAAGCGAGGTGTTGCACGCCCTCAGGGCCAAGCAGAGACATCAGCTTTTAAAGCCCGTCCTGCATGTCCTGGGGCAAATAGGAGATATGCTTCATCCTTACAGAGGATCAGTCGTAACGACTCAGGTGTGGATTGACAACAAGTGCTTCAAAGTGCAGCGGAGCTGCCGTAGCTCTTTGCTTAGAGGAAGCTAAGCTAAAGTCACAGACCTTACGTACTATACTAGAACCGACATGAGTGTAGCGGATCGCAATCTGCTAACTCCAAGAGTACCCACAACCTTAACACAAGGCAAATACACTCTTCCGCCCAAAAATGTAAACTGTATTTCTTTTTTTTATATGCGGCAGAGCCGCCTGTATCTGAATTCATAGGTTTCCAAATTAAATAGTAAGATATAATTAAATTACATAATTACTGACAGCCCCCCCACGTAGTGGCTTCTTGTTTAGGTGTAGCCATACCATTATGTGGTCACGCCATCATGTGTGACCCACCCCCTCATACTAAGGTACGTGTAATCCCGTTACAGACACAGCCAATAACACCCGATCACATTTCTGATGTCGAATGTATCCGTACTCCTTGAGAAGGAGACGCTAGTTTAAGACTTGTGAGCTTAGCTGTGGAGTACAATGTAAAATGTTGGCAAGTCCAAGACCGAGCTGAATATTGTAATCTCGTTATAAGCACAAGGGTGGCCTAAAGCTGTAGAACATGGATATACTAGATTTTTACAAAAAGACGCCACGCACTTTTTCTGAATTGGAATATTGGTGCTTATATATATTATTTGTATATATGAAGTAAAAGCTCCATGGCACAAGCGTGGAGCTGCGATAGCTATATTAATGAACATGAGACCGTTCGAAAAACTACCGAAGGTATTCCATAGTATCTTAAGCTAAGCTCCGACGACAAAAACGGCAATTTGCCGAAATACAAGATGGGTCACGGCGAAGGGATCTATTTTCGCATCGTTCGGAGCTTCTTTAGACGGAATTGACGATGCTTTATCGCAGTTCTCATTTTATCTTTGGTGGGATGCAGCCGTAACCAGGGGTTCTTGGAAATGTTTTCGGTGGGATAAATGAGAGTGACTGTATATCGCGATTTTTAAAATTTACTGAAGGAGGTATGTCGCAAACATTAGATCCAGATCTCCAAGATACTAACGATGGTGCATTTTGAACAATATGAAATTGTTCAGCTTAATTAGTACTACGGGGTGACGCGCCCATCCTGTGGAGCAGTATAGCCACGTGGTTAAAGACTATTCATTTGTGAATACATTAAATGGGATGTCGTGTGGAGGTAAGTTTATCCTTTCTATTTGTGACAGAAGCTCTGCTCGAACTTGATGAGTTATTCGTATAGGATTAGATGCTAAACGGAGAAGAGACCAACATAATACGATAGTATTGATGAAAAAATTAGAGGCCATAATTTGTCATGGATGATACTATTTTTAATAACACTAAGCAGTGCATCGAGTACATAATGAAAGCTAAGTAGCCTTAAGGTCGTATGCGATTTTCTAATTCTCCTCATCTTAGGTGTTACGCCCGTGTTGGGAGGTTCGTCATCTAACGAACCTGGATCCCGAACAAAACACAGCATAACAAAACAATAATATTTAACAAGGGAATTTGAGATACCATAAATACTTTTTTTATTCAAATGGAAATTTTATATAAGTAAGAGATGAGCATTTCACCCATCGGTACCGAATTCTGCGTTAGAAAGACCACAGCAGATTACGAATTATGCATAGAGAGTAACGGAGTTACACACACCTTGGTATAAAGGGCTCATTTGATGGTGTGACCACGCAATGGTGTGGCAACACCTTTACCAGAAGCCACTACGTGGCGGGACTGCCAGAAGCTATGCAATTTAATTAGATTTTACGATTTAATTTGGAAAAGCTATGGATTTAGATATAGGCGGCTCTGCCACAAATAAAAAATAGAAATACAATTTACATTTTGAACGGAAGAGTGTATTCGCCATGGGTTAAGGTTGTGGGTACTATTGGAGTTAGCGGATTGCTACCCGCTACATACATACTGGCTCGAGTATAGAACGTATGGTCTATGACCTTAGCTTAGCTTCCTGTACACAAAGAGCTACGGTACCCCCGCTGCAGGTTTTGACAGTTATACGTTCTGCGTAATCAGATGACGCCAGAGGCTTTCTAAATTTTTCACGTCCTCACTAACCCGGCGGTTGATTTTAATCACCGTTAACACTGGGCTATGGGCTACTTCTTTTCGTTAAAATGTGTCGTAACCATCAGCAGCCGGGTTTGATTGGTGTCAGTCTTTTCTGGACCAGATAGAATTTTGATATGTTTCAGTTGGCCTCCCGGAATCACTAAGATTCACCACTCCCCCGCTTGAAGATACGTCGGTCGGTCCAGCATATAACCGATCCTTTGCAACTCTATGTAGAGAGTAGGAAAAGGGGGCGCAGAAGTTAGGTGTTGCCAGAGAATTAGAATCTGCGACAAAATCATTGCGGATTGACGGCTGAAAAATTTGCTCTCACCTCTCAGCTAGGTTATGTTCACTGAAATGGCATGAGCACAATACGTTCTTCGAATGACATGTAGTCAAAATTTTGTATTCCATTCTTGCAGAGGCAAATCTTGGTCGTCGGATCGATGAGTAGTGCCTCCTAGTGCGAAGGGGTGGCCCAGCACCTCGCATGAATGTTATGCGACGTAGCAAGTTAACGTCAGGAAAGCGCGGAGGATGAGCTTGTTGTTTCACCTCGAAGCTAAACCGAGAGCCTTGCAGCTATCTTTCGTTCTCGTCAATGATATTGTTTTACATTCGGTATATTATCATAAAAGAATTGACACCGCTAAGGGGACATCATCGGTGAGCTGTCCCTGCTCCAAATTCATAAACTCGTGATTGCTCACGATGTCGTATCATATTGTAGAAGGAGAGTATGATGACCTGCATCAGATATTTATGCGATTTACAGTGTTTTTTAAAAAGATGAAATATCTCTCTCATAGCAGAAATCCAGTTCATCAACCTTGAGGTTGGTAATTGTGGCCCTTACTGCGAGCTGATGACAATTACGACCAAGAGATAGAAGTCGACGATGTGGTTTTGCATCAAACAAATTTAATTTGAAGTACATTCTAAAAAGCAGTCATCAAATGCAAATTGGTTTTCATCTTCGACATCAGCTTTAGGTTAGATAACCCGAATTAAAACAGAATGACCACTATATATCGCTGTCTAAAGCGGAGACCTTTAAAGCACAGGATTCTTTTGATGGTGACTGCCTCCAATAATGGGAAGCATAACTATCTTACTCAGAGAATCACACAACAAAATAACATACTCATCTTTGTCTTGATCAAAACTTGTCTCTTA